TGCCCATGACCATGCCCGTGCCCATGTCTTTGTTGGTGCCGGTGTCCATATCTGTGCCCGTGCCCATGTACATGTGGGTGTCCATGCCCATGTCAGTGCCCGTGTCAGTGTCCGTGTCCATGCCTGTGGTCATGTCAGTGTTCATGTCTGTGTCAGTGTCGGCGCCCATGTCGGTGCCCGTATCCATGTCAGTGTTGGTCTCCATATTGATGCCTGTGTTGGTGCCCATGTCCATGTTGGTGCCCATGTCCATGTTGGCACCCATGTCCGTGTTGGTGTCTGTGTCCTTGTTGGTGTCTGTGTCAGTGTCCGTGTCAGTGTCCATGTCGGTGTTGGTCTCCATGCCTGTGTCCGTGTTGGTGTTGGTGTCTGTCCATGTTGGTCGCTGTGCCTGTGTCTGTGTTGGTCTCTGTGCCCGTGTCTGTGTCAGTGCTCATGTCCATGTCCATGTTGGTGTCCGTGCTGGTCTCCGTGCCTATGTCCATGTCGGTGTTGGTGTCTGTGCCAGTGTTGGTGTCAGTGTCTGTGTCCGTGCTGGTGTCCGTGCCCATGTCGGTGCCCATGTCCATGTCCGTATTGGTGTCAGTGCCCGTGCCTGTGTTGATGCCCGTGTCCGTGTTGGTGTTGGTCTCCGTGCCTGTGTCTGTGCCCGTGCCCGTGTCGGTGTCCATGTTGGTGTTGGTGTCGGTGCCCATGCCCGTGTCAGTGTTGGTGTTCATGTTGGTGTTGGTGTCGGTGCCCGTGTCCATGTCCGTGTCAGTGTTGGTGTCCATGCCTGTGTCCACACTCGTGCCCGTGTCAGTGTCCATGTCGGTGTTGGTGCCGGTGCCCATGTCCATGTTGGTGTTGGTGTCGGTGCCCGTGTCCATGTCCATGCCCGTGTTGGTGTTGGTGTCCATGTCAGTGGCCGTGCTGGTGTTGGTGCCCATGTCCGTGTTGGTGTCCATGTCGGTGTTGGTGCCCGTGTCAGTGTTGGTGCCCGTGTCTGTGCTGGTGTTGGTGTCGGTGCCCATGTCCGTGTTGGTGTCCATGTC